CTGGCTTCAAGATCGTCTCCAAGATGCTCAAGAACGAGGGCCCTACCAGCTTCTTCAAGGGTCTGACCCCCAAGCTGCTGATGACAGGTCCCAAGCTGGTCTTCAGCTTCTGGCTGGCACAGACTTTGATTCCCGCTTTCGGTCAGGTTGTATAGAGACTTTCTTTTTTATAATTGTTGCATTTCCCCTCTTATTATCTTTTCTCGGGCTAGGTGACTTAACCTAGACTTTTGTATTTTTCATAGACAACTTTTATTTCTTCCGGGGATCTATTTAGGTAGCTTACATTTTCCGAATGCGACGAACTCACTCTACTTCAACACGGATTTATGTGACATTAAGACTCTGGGCTCTTTGAATGACAAGTTCTATTTGGATGACATATATTCTATTGTTATAGAAGTAATCACAAGAATAAGACGGGATGTATAGTGGGAATATCAACATCCAAACCAGTAAACGAAAAAGAAATAGAACGCACATGTAAAAGAAATAGACACAAACTTGATTCGTGAGGCATTCTACTAACCAGTAACAGCGTTTCTTTGCTTTGCTAGCCAGCCCTTAGAATCTCCCGTGCTGGCTCCATGTCGATACCGTGATACCGTCATATTGTTGTTCTGCCATCGGCTCTGAAGGTGATACCAAGCTGAGCCCACAAGGTTGAGTTCTCGAGCTTGGTTGTCGATAATATTCTGAAGCTCAAGCTAAAAGTGTCATCAGCATACTGTTAAAGCTGGGACGAAGCAAAAACAGCTTTTTGACTTACCTCTCGCTCTTTGGAAATTCCATCATCCAGGTTTTCTTCGTAGTTCTTCATACGCTCACGAAGTGATTTGACCAACTCGTTTTGTTGCTGGATGTACTATAGCACCAAGCTAGAATCAGCAAACGCGAACCGAATAAGATGTAGCGAGGATCTTTCGTGGAAAACTGACCTCTGCACGCTGAGCAAGTCGTTCAACGTTCTTCTCCAGAACTCCCGCACACTGCTTCAAGAGCTCGAAGCTCGATTTCTGGGGCACCTCGCTGCCCTCGTTATTATGGGTTTCGAACTCGCCTAGGAGCATTTGCATCTCTTTCATAACTTCCTGATCTTCGGAGCTGATCTCGCTTTGCTTGTTGTCGAGCATCTTGCGCAATTCCTCTCGTTCCGCACAGACTTCGCGCACCAGCGTCTGGCTGGCATCAACTTCAGCCTCCAGGTGATGGACGTTCTGTGTGAGACTTTCCCAATCATCCCGGACTTTTGTCAATTCAGCCGAGTTATGCGCTTCGAGTCCTTGGAGCATCTCAACCTGTTCTGCATTGACAAGGCGAACTTCAAGACTGTAAGTCACATGTATTTCTCAAGTTGTGTAGAACCAGAGCAATAAAAACTTACGTTCAGCTTGTGTATCAGACAGGTCCCTCTTGGCTGTTTCCAAGGTGTCTTGAACCTCTGCAATCTTCTTGAGAGCTCCGGTATAGTTCTCGTATAGTTTCCAATAGTCGTCACTGTGAAGCATGTTAGATATTCTGTTTATTGAAACGAAATGTCGGGCAATCAAACCTTTGGGTGGAACCAGAGCGCGCCAGCTGCACGGATGCAGCAAAGTTTTCAGAGAAGCCTCCAGTATGGGAGGCTGGCTGCTGGTTGTTAATATCAGTATAAGCTTGGAGAGAACAGATGGTACACATACAGCTGAAGGTGCTTTGACCGACTCCATTTCCCGCTTCAAGTCATCGTTCTCGGATTTACTGTCAATGGTTAAAATCCAATAACCCCGCGAAGGCAAAATGTATACATACAGTTGAGACTCTTTGACACCGAGTGCCTCAAAGTCCTTGTGCAATGTCCCTTGCATCTTTGGCGTCTCTGAGCCAGGCGACGCGCTGCCCGGCAAGCCGTCCATTTCTCCGAGGCGTTCACGTAGTTCGCTGATCAAAGCATCATCTCTATCGTGCTGTTCATTCGCGCTTTCCAATCGCTCTGTGAGCGCATGGTTATTGAACTCAAGTTGCTTCTTTAAGTTCTGAATCTCATTGCATTCCTGCTCAACTTGTGGCAGCAGCTTGCGATACTCTTCCAGTTCCACATCGCGCTCCGCAGACCACCGCTGCTGCGAGTCTGACTCTTTCAGCTGTTGCTGAAGATCTTTGATTTGGTTCTTGAGGGTCTGGTTCTCTTTCTCAAAGTCTTGGCTGGCTTGCAGCTTTTGGCGGTATTTCTCGGCCGCGTTTGCCTTGCGCGCGAGTTGATCTTTTTCGGTACGGAGCTCATCATAGTCATCCTGTAACTTCTGGTAGCGCTGGTTCTTGACCCGCAACGACTCGACGGTCATGCGAAGACTGTCGATTTCGTCCTGGGCCGCGGTCAACTTGGCTTCTTGGGAGGCAATTAGATCGTCCTGTTGACGAGTCTTGCTCTCCAGTGCCTTTGCATTGTGACCGATATCACCCTTTCCAGATTTCAATGTAACCAGCCGGTCTTCGGTGGAGGCGAGACGGTTTTGCAGGGTGTCATTGTTCTCCTGGAGACGCGCCAGGCGATTGTGCAAGTCCTCCAATGCCTTTTCCAATTCCTTTTTCTCATGTGTTAGACGGTCGTTCTCCGCGAGCACCTTTCCGACGCGTTCCTCGAACTGTAGTTCCAGGTCCACAGGGCGATCGTGCTTGGCCAGGTCTTCCCTGAGCTCGTCCGCAGCGTCCATGGGCTCGTATTGGCCATTGTGCGCCTCCTCAATAATATCCCTGAGCCCCTCTTGTGTCGAGGTGCTAAGTTCCTGAAGTGTTTGTACGTATGTTCCGGCGTTGGGGGAGCTGATGGCAGCGATTAGGAGAAGCTTCAGCAGCTTGTTCGTTTCCTTGGCAGAAGCTTTTTCGGCAATCGATTCGAGATCGGGCGATGGATCGAGGCCGGAAGGTAGGATGTCATCGTTCTGGTGTCGAATGTAGTTGAGCAGTAGTTTGTGGATGTGCTTCAGGTTCTGCCACTTGGCCACCCAATGGTCGGAGGAGTTGCGCTCTGGGATTTCCTCAAGGAAATATTGAGGGTCAATATCCTGGAGAATCTCCCACAGAATAATTCCGTCGGTCAATTCATCGGTTGCTCGGAGGGTTTTGCCTAAGGAGAAGCTGTTGATCCATTCTAACAGAACCTTGGTCACCGTGTGTTCCGACGCCATTTTGGTGACGCGTTTTAATCGAGTGTCAAAGAAGCCTGCAATTCCAGCAATCCCAGCAATTCCAGCATTTCCAAAGGGATTACGACACAAGATGAGGGAGGTTCCAGATCCACGCGCCTTCGGGGCCACAAGGACGGGAGTCAACTAGCGGGTGGGGGAAAGGATGATCGGCCCTATGTTGACTCCAGGACTTCGATTTGCCTACATATGTAGGAAAGTACATAACTCAAGTCTTTGAATTGTAAATCATACATTGTGATATTGAATACATTGTAAATGTATGTTATTTTATGATGTAGATTGTCAGAAACCAGTAAAACTATCAATATGTTTCCCTACCCAGAAGCCCTTAGCTGAGGCATAAGGGCTCAACCATTTACTCCACATTGTGTACATCCGAACGCCGAGGTATTAAATCATCCAAATCGTCCTGAGAGTGTAATTCTGAAATGATCCCAGCATGGGTTTGCCTCCGGACGTCATGATATGCTCAGAACTGTGAGATTCTCACAACGTCCGGTATCTCATTGGAGAAGGTATATTAGACTGCAGCCGCATAGTCTCCGTACGCGCTGACAACCTTATCTTCTTCGATATTCGGTTTGTATTGAGTATCCTGCGTGGAGAGGGTCTGGAGAGCGTTCACAGGAGCCTCGGCGGCGAAGCCACTAAAACCATAGTCAGAAAATGGGTTATAAGATAGAAACGTCTGTTGAAACCGTACTTAATCAAATCTGTATAAGAAAGGTAGGTTAGCGATGAAATGATATCTCTATATCTAATTATAAGCAAGGTAGAAAGTAAAACTTACTGTATTCATGCGTGATGACGCCACCCTATAAGTGTCAGTTCAGAGCCATCAACAACTTCATGAGAACGAAGAAACAATGCATACTGAAGCCACCAGGCAAGCTTTGGCCTGGTCTACCACCGAGTCAGGCGTTCCCTTGGGGAAAGTAATGATGACGGACTTGAGCGATCCGGCCAATACCAGTGGTAGAACCAGCAGGGTAGCAAATGTAAGCTTCATATTGAAAACCTTGGAAAGGAAGCAGTAATATCTCTTTTCAAATGAGTTGAATGTACTCTATACGAAGTCAGTCAGTTCAGTCAGGTCAAGTCTGACAAGGAGTTGAATGCGTCATTCCACGATCACATGACTGTATGACAATCCCTTTCTCTTTGGCGCTTCCACCTTCAACAACTTCACTTCACCTCTCTCTCTTTTCTTTCCCTTGTCAATCATTATCTTTCACTCCACAGCGCTGTTTTTCTTGCATTTACCCAGTCTTGATAGTCTCTTCTACTTCTTCTGTTTCTTCATTTTCCCCCTCCCCGTTGGTTTTTCGCAGGACGCGGCTTTTCGAGCATTTCTTCCCTCGTTCCATCACCATCCCTCGATTTCTTTGGCTGGCAGGTAGATACACAAGGGTACTGGAAGGTTACGGGTTGGGTTGGACTGAGAGCAAGCGTTTGAATACTATTGTTTTCTCATTTCTCGCAAAGATAGCTAGCAAGCATTTACAAGTTCCGACTATTTCTCCATCTTTGCGTTGATCCAAGAGAATTCGTTGGAACGAGACAAGGATTAAGAAGAAAAGAAGACATTCTTAATAGTCACAGGAAAAAGGACAGGCAGAAGCCATTCAGAAGGAAGAGAAGAGAAGAAAAGACCAAATCCAACTCGGAAACCCACAAAACCACAGAGAACAAAGGAAAAAAAAAGCAGGAAAGGGAAAACAAAACAAGACAACGTGCTGAACTTCGACTTGATATTGATCTCCTCGACATCTCTGATAAATCCAGATATCGACTCATCCCCACATCGCCATAATGTCCGGCCTTGTTTCCGACGAAATTGCAGAGGACTACAAGAGTTCATTGGAGGATCTAACCACCAATGATGGAATCCAGATCCGTACTCTGACTGTCATCGCCAAAGAGAATACCGAACACGCAATGGCTATCTCCCGGGTCCTGGAGAACCACATTCGATCAGTAGGTGCTCCAGATTTCTTTTTATTCGTGGCGTAGTACAGGATGAGTACTAACCACTATGTAGACTCCCCCCCTGCAGAAGCTTCCAGCCCTCTATGTAGCCGATTCCATCGTGAAGAACGTTGGAAGCCCCTACACCCTCTTCCTTGGCCGGAACATGTACCAGACATTCATGAATGTTTATACTCTCGTCGATGGAAACACCCGAAGGAAGCTGGATGAGATGCTCAACACATGGAAGCAGCCGGCCCCAGGCTCCCTGGATACGCGCCCAGTCTTCCCTCCCGACATCACACGCAACATTGAGAGTGCTCTCATCAAAGCACGCACTGCGGCTTTGCAACAACAACAGGCCAGGGCCCAACCAGACATCCTCGGCCGTAATCGTGGAAATGGGACTCCAACTGGGTGGACAAGCAGCTCTACACCACCTCAGAACATGCCTCGGCCTTCACACAACCACCAGTATCCCAATAATGGTCATTCCAATTCGGTAAGACTCCTTTTATCTGTGTCACGTTTAAAGCTATCTAAGCCATTACTGTTTGAGGGCTGGGCGATGCCTTCGTTGTCGTACTAAAGCTAATTTGGGTCTCATAGGCACCTCCCCAGACTCATCGACAGGATATTGATTTGAGCTACCTCAATCGAGACGTGGATGCCCTGATCGCCTCTGCAAAGATTGACTTTGCTAACAGTCCCTTTAACCCCGTTTCTCAACAACGCCTGAAAGCGTTGGTAGATCTTCAGGCCATTCTACAGAAACAACAGCTTGCCCCAGATCAGTTGAAACTTGTCCGTGATCAGGTCTCTGCGCTTGCTGCCACAAGACCGCCATCGGCTGCCCCTAATGCCGCTACGAATGGCCCTGCAGTGTCTGCTCCCCCACAAGTTCCCACACCACCAGCCCAACCAGTCTCGCAGCCCCTCCAGCAACTATTAAACCCTAACACCCTCGCCGAGCTGATCAAAGCTACCGCTTCGCGTCAGCAGTCTACCCCACCACCTCCAATTCCGGCAGCGCTGCCTCAGATGCCCCAATATCCTCACCAAAGCGTCCCCCCGCAGACGGCGCCGGAGAACCCTCTTATTGCGGCCTTGAGGGCACGTGGACTTCTACCTGGTGGATCGACGCCCTCGTCTCTTACGCCATCGACTTCGACGCCGGTTTCTGGTAGATCTAATCTGCCATTCATCTTGCCTCATGGAATGCAGCCTACACCCCCAGCTCCGTCTCAAACCCCAATTCCCTCCAATGGATCCTCTGGGGTCCCCATGAGCACCGCGTCTATGAAGATCCCTCGATTCGGACTTATTGTCTCTCTTTATGATTCCCGGCCGAACCGATGTGGAACTTGCGGTCGTCGCTTCTTGACCACGGACGAAGGCAAGGAAATGAAAGCCCGGCATCTGGACTGGCATTTCAAGACCAATCAGCGCATGACCGAGTCCTCCCGACGGGCTCAGAATCGCAGCTGGTATGTTGATGAAAGGGTATGTTCATCTCATGTATTTCTACAAGTTCCATTTCTCACTTCAGTAGGACTGGATCAAATCTCGGGAAGCCGGCGACGAGAATGGTGCTGCGGATCCTCAAGCCACCACCGAAGGAGCTGCAGGCGTGGATGGCAACACTAAGCAAGAGCCACCAAAGCCGTGGATTCGAGCCCCGAATGATGCCACTCTCCGCAACACCCCGTGCCCCATCTGCCAGGAGAAATTCGAATCGACTTGGTCTGAAGATGTCCAGGACTGGATCTGGCAAGACGCGACCAAGGTCGGAAGTCGTGTGTATCATGCCAGCTGCTATTCCGAAGTGACCAAGGGCCCTGCACCGACGCGTCAGACACGGACCAGCACGCCCGATTCTGTCCTGGGCAAGCGGAAAGCTGAGGTGAGTTCCTTTTGAGGGTGTTTAGATGTTCAGGGAGCTAACTATAGGCAGGGAACTGAATCTCCAAGTCAGAAAACGCGCATCAAGACCGAGATCTGATTTGTACCATCGAAGTATTATTCTTTGCATTGCATAGGGAATATCTCCCTGGCGTTAACTAGCGAATTGAGTCCTTCTACTTCACAAAATCGTATCCACGTTACATCTTTGTACATAGGATTCATCTACCGAGCCCCGCTCCATCCCCCGCTTAATTTCCCCATAAAATCAAATTCCTCTCGTAAACTGTCTTTTCTTCTGATCTTTCAATTTTTGTACATTTGAATTCTACTATTCCACTTAAATTTACTTCCATCATGGCGCCACACATTGTTCGATGGGGTATTATGGGTATGAGATTCTGTTTCCATGAAAACCAAAAAAAACAAAGCTAACTGATTGGTAGCCACTGGCTGGATCGCTGAGAGTAAGATCTCACTTCGACAATACCTGGGTGTATAATGACTTATTTCCGACAGTATTCACAAATGACCTTCTTATCGACCCTAATGTCCGCGATGCCTCTGACGTAGCCCACCAAGTTGTGGCTGTCGCCTCGTCCTCATCCAAGGACAAGGCTGAGCAATTCATCTCTGCTCGAGGAATCACAACCCCCTGTTCCGCATACGGTGACTACGAGACTCTCGTGGCCGACCCCAACGTCGATGTCATCTACGTCGCAACCCCGCACTCCCACCACTACCAGAACGTCAGACTCGCGCTGGAGGCAGGCAAGAATGTCCTCTGCGAGAAAGCCTTCACCGTCAACGCTGCTCAGACTAAGATTCTCGTCGAGATTGCCCGCAAGAAGAATCTCTTCCTTATGGAAGCTGTCTGGACTCGCTACTTCCCCCTCAGCATTCAGATCCGCGAGCTCATCCAGAAGGGTGAGATCGGCGAGGTCCTTCGTGTCGTGGCTGATACGAGCTTCGGCGATGATGTCGAAACGAAATGGGGAACGACACACCGCATGGTGAACCCCGATTTGGCCGGTGGTGCTCTCTTGGATTGTATGTTTTCTAGGGTTTTTGTTCATTAATTGTCGCCCGATGACAGAAATAGAAAGGGGACATTAGCTAATTTGCTCTTTTAGTGGGTATCTACTCCTTGACCTGGGTCTTCCAGACTCTATACCACACCCTACCTCGAGACCAGAGGAAGCCACCCACTGTCTCCTCGCAGATGACTCCTTATCACCTCACCGGTGCAGACGAGTCCACAACCATGCTCCTGAGCTTCCCTACAAGCACTCCATCCAATGGCCCACACCCGCAAAAATCGCACGGTGTAGCCATGACCAACATCCGTGTCTCTGCTGATCCGGATGAGAAGGGCTCGGCTGGACCTCCCATCCGTATTCAGGGCACCAAGGGCGAGATCCAGGTGCATGGCCAGCCTTTCCGGCCAGAAAGCTACCGCATCATTCCCAAGAAGGGTGCCGGTGAGATCCGTGAGGTTCAGTGCCCATTCCCTGGTAATGGTAAGGGCATGTACTGGGAGGCTGATGAGGTTGCTCGTTGCCTCCGCGACGGCAAACTCGAGAGTGAGGGCTTGCCATTGGAAGAGAGTATCGTGATTATGGAGCTCATGGATGAGGTGCGAAAGCAGGGTGGTTTGACCTATCCTCAGAAGATTGAGTCGACCGAGTACCCTCTACAACTTTAGGTATGAGTACATGGCATGTTTAAATAATTCTAGTATTACGTGAATATATGTACATATCACATCTACCCATATGTGCAAAGGTGCAAAGCGGCCAGGGGTCAAATGTTCGAATTGTGTCCGATTTAGACTGCCTTGGGTAACTACTAGTAAAGCTCTACCTATGTAACTATGTATAAGATTCGACGACTCGCAATACTAAGATGGGCAAAACCTCAACACAACCAAAAGGATACCAAGAAAGGCATCGAAGAAGACATGACAACTGTAGGAGGGTGGTCATCTCACTAAAACAGACAAATAAGAAGACGAAGCTATTCCCACTATCCAAATCTCCATCTTCGTCTAATTCCAGGCGTCGAAGCCAAATCAGGCACTGGCCGCTCTGCACCCTCGCACATATGTTGCTTTCTTAGATGCCAATGGAAACAAGACTAAAGACTACAAGATTTACCAAGATCCCATTGAATTCATACCGGTCTTGAGTGTATTCGGTACTCAAAAGGTACACACATACTACTATACATGGCGGTCAAGGGCATAAACCCACGTCTATATGTGGACGAAAACACCAGCCATGCTTCCGGTGTGCCCAATTAAGAAAAACATAGGAAAAGAAAAAAGGTAGACATCACGGAGCATGGACTGGTAAGTTGTCCCAAATTCCCCCCAAATTCCCCTTTTTTAAATGCAATCAATCCAACAGAATCGCTTACTGGCGGAAGACTCCAAGAATGCTCTTCCAGACCTGGCCAGGCTCCTGGCTGGCATCAATGCCGCGCCAGATACCGGTCTTCTTGTAGTACTCGACAACGGGGGTGGTCTGGGCGTGGTAGGTAGCCAGACGCTTGGTGAGGGTGTCGGCATTGTCATCGGAACGCTGGATAAGCGGCTCTCCGGAGATGTCGTCCTTCATGTCCTCCTTGGGCGGGTTGAAGATCTTGTGGTACGAGCGGCCAGAGGCAGGGTGGACCAGGCGGCCGGTGATACGAGCCACCAGCAGGGAGTCGTCAATCTGCAGCTCAACGGCGTGCTGAAGCTTCTGGTCACGGGCGACGAGCATGTCATCGAGGCGTTCGGCCTGCGCAACCGTCCGGGGGAAACCATCCAGAATGAAACTGTCCACCTCTCGTGTTAACTTTGGCCGGGTGCCGGAAGAAAATAAATTAGGGGGAGGGGATGTAGATGTACGCACCCGTTCTTGCACTCGGCGTTGTTGTCCAGCTCGCTCTTGATCATGTTGATCATGATCTCGTCGCTGACGAGACCACCCTGGTCCATGATCTTCTTGGCTTCCTTTCCAAGGTCGGTCTTCTTCGCGACCTGGGAACGCAGCATATCTCCGGTGGCCTATTCAGGAAATATATCAGCGGGAAGAGCTTTTGCTGTACTTAGGCAAACTTTCTACTCACCAGGTGGCACGCGCAGTACTTTTCCTTAAGGTTCGGGGCTTGAGTACCCTTGCCTGATTGAACTGTTAAAATCCATTGCCTTTTTTCCAGTTATAGTTCAATCGCATACCTGCACCAGGAGGGCCCATCAGGATCATGCGCATCTGCTCGGCGACGGACTTGGGCTTGCCGCCATTGGCGAGACGACTCTCAAGCTCGGATACCTTTGCCTCCAGCTGGTGGATAGTGTCCTTCAGACCGGAGACGGACTCTTCAGTGATGGGAGCCATTGTGAATTGTAAGAGGGGAGAGGGTTGAAGAAGGGAAAAAGCTGTAGACGGGGAAACGGAGAAATGGGGAAAGGGAAGATTCGCAAGGAACTTAGCGCCCCGAGGTTCGGAGAGCACGGGCTTCACGGGGGAATGGACTGAATATGTATATAGTATATACTTTTGTTAAAGAGATGATTATATATAGATGTACAGATTATATGATCCAATTGATGTTTAGTATCTATCCTTATTCTATCTATGTTTACTTAATTAGTTAATTATTTACTTCATGTACTCCGTATATATTCCCAGCTTCCTCTTCACCGAGAAAAAGTGCAAGGTGGCCGCTTACTAAGCTCTCCAGCCTCAGTATGGCGCAGCTCTGTGGCGGAGAGCTCTCATGAGCACCTGTGCATCATCGCTCTCCATCCACCGCATTCTCCTATCTCGCATTGATTTGCTGTTTCATTGGATTTTATTTGATCTACAAGCTTTAATCGTCCCCTTATAGCTCTCGATTTCTTTTCACCTTTTCTCCCTTTCACGATGCCTGCCACCACGGCGGACACGCTATCCCTCGTCAACCGCTCCGTGACGGTTGCCCCGTTAGTGCTCCTCTCCGTCGCAGATCACTATGGGAGAACGGCAAAGGGTACCCGGAAACGTGTTGTAGGTGTGCTGCTGGGTGAGAACTCTGGCGATAATGTCCGGGTATCAAACAGTTTTGCTGGTGAGTGCAAGCTTTCGGTGAATTGAACCCATACAACAGATGAGCTGACATCTGTTTTTCTATCTCTCTAGTCCCGTTCGAAGAGGATGAAAAAGACCCATCGGTGTGGTTCTTGGATCACAACTTTATCGAGTCGATGAGGGATATGTTCAAGAAAATCAATGCTCGCGAGAAGCTAGTCGGCTGGTACCATTCGGGTCCTAAGCTGCGCGCTTCGGATTTGGAGATCAATGAGCTCTTCAAGAAATACACGCCCAACCCCTTGCTGGTTATTGTCGACGTACAACCGAAGGAAGTCGGTGTGCCTACAGATGCTTACTTCGCTGTGGATGAAATCAAGGATGTGAGTTTGCATTGAATCCGAGGAAGCACCCATCAGGCCATCCGGGCTAACCAGGGCAAATTTCTTTTCACTTGCAGGATGGAACAACAACCTCCCGGACATTTGTGCACACCCCGTCGATAATCGAGGCAGAAGAAGCAGAGGAGATTGGCGTGGAGCACCTCCTCCGAGACATCAGGGACGTCGCAGTCGGCACACTTTCCACCCGTATCACGTCGCAGCTGCAGTCGCTGCAAGGATTGCATCTGCGGCTACGCGATATCGGCCAATACCTCCAGAAAGTTCTTGACAAGGAACTTCCCGTCAACCACGCCATTCTGGGCAACCTCCAGGATGTTTTCAACCTCCTTCCCAATCTGTCCACCCCACCGGCGACGCAGCGGAGCAGCGGCCAGGAGACGCAGATCGAGAACAGCGAGTTGGCACGCGCCATGAGTGTCAAGACTAATGATCAGTTGATGGCTATCTACATCAGCAGCTTGATCCGTGCTATCACGGCTTTCCACGACTTAATCGATAACAAGATCCAGAACCGACAGCAGCAAGAGGAGAGTGACACCAAGCGGGACCAGGAGGCCAGTGGAACTAAGGGAGACAAGGATGCCAAGAAGGCTGGTTCGCCAAATGGCGAGCAGAAGGAGGAGCAGGATAGCTCCGACAAGAACAAGAAGAAGAACTAAGGGAGTTATCTTAATTTATTCTCTTCCGGAAATTCAACCCAATGAGTGAAGCATATGATATTTCAGCCAATTCTTCTTTCGTATTTCGCCATGTATGTTGGATGGTCAAGGTTAAGATCTGCTATTAGCAGTCCAAGTCTGTGTATTTCGCAGAGCGAACAAAGACTTTGGTTTTCTCTGTCAGATGTATATCCAAGTACATAGGGAATAACGCTGCCATTGGCGTGTCTGTCATGCAATCATCCTGCAATTTTAAGGGCTCCAGGACAAGTCCCCATTTGTGGCCAGCCGACTTCCCATGCAACGATTGCCCGGACACAGGCAGACGGTTCATGTGGAATAGACAAGGTTCTGTAGTAGGACCCGTCGTCATCTGCGGGATACCTTGGATGGTTCTCAGATGGCTGCTTCAGCGGTTGCCACGGGTGTCCAAGGACTCTTTGTCCAGGTGGTCCAAGTGCGTAATATTCATCGTACATCAATTTGCGTTGACGTGTCAAGAGCCAAACAAATCAACCACCCCAACCAGCACACCAGCCTGCCAATTCCTCCTTGGAGATGACGAATTTGCCAACCCCGTCAACCCCGAACAGCTCAGGGCATCGCGCATGCAGAATGCAGGCTAGGATATGTTTGCAGGTAGGAGGCGACACCCGAGCCGTGCCACGAGCCAACGTTCCGCCAAACGAGTAGGCCAACTGGTTCTGTTCGTTTGTCGGATGATTCGGGAGTTGAGGGTCTCGGTATGCAGACAGGGTGAATGTAGGACAACTGCAATTCCAGGCACGCAGCCGAACCTCGTAGCCCTTTTCTTGGGAAGTTGATGAACCCGGGAGTGAAGGCGGTACCGAAGCAGATATTACAATGAAAATATCCTCTTGGGCTGTCTCTGGGGATGCATGATCTGAGCGCACAATTCGACGTACTAGTTTGCGGTCGAGGATATCAAGAGCTGGGAGGAAGTCGTTTGGGAATAGGCAGTGCAATGTTAACATCAGTGGTTTTAAGGTCTTCGAAAATCCAGGCTGTGCCAATTCTGTGATCAAACGATCAATGAAGATGTGAGAATTAGAATCCATTTAGGGTGATGGAAAGAAGAAAAAGAGAAAGAATTTCAAACTAAAAAGAAAACAACTCCGGGATATCCCAACTTCTGAACTTCTGAACTTCTGAACTTCTCAACTTCTCAACTTCTCAACTTCTCAACTTCTACTTCTTCCCCTTCCCCTTTGCCTTCCCCTTTGCCTTCCCCTTGTCTCCCTTTTCAAAATCCTTCGCTTTGCCCAGCACCTTTCTCTTAAATTTACTATATGACGAATCTTTTTCCTCTTCTTTGTCCTTCCCTCCCTTCTTCCTCTTCAGTCGATTGTAGTGCAACCCTTGAACTTCGAGATCCAACAGCTTTGATCCCTTTCCTCCATCTCCAGTCAAAGTAATCTCAAGTCGTCCTCGTTGTTTGATCCAGTCGACTATAGCCTCATTGGAACTGGTGCCAATATCAGAATCAATAGCAGAATCGATAGCCGAATCAACACCAGAATAAATAGCAGGACCAATGCCAGAATCAATGGCAGAAGTCTGTGCTCCTTTGATTGATTCCCTCTTCTTCTCCCATTCATCCGCCCAATTCTCCCACTCCTTGCGCCTCGAATCCGCTGTGCGAGCTATATAGCTATCGACAACCTTGGGAATCATCACATCCAGTAACTTCCCTAGTGCCTTGGGGTCATTTCCCCAGAGATTGGCGCCTGATCCTGGGACAGACCCAGGCACCGATGATCTTGGGACAGACTCAGGCACCGATGACAATGGTCCAGAGTCAGGCGCCGATGACAATAAACTAGAGTCGAACCCGGCGAACACACCGCCGTCGTTCCACCCTGGGCCGGAGTCGATTTCCATGGCATCGACCCCCGGGATTCTTCCCAGCGGCCGTCTCTACCACTGGGTCGTTTGTGGGTAACCGGCGGTATGTAAAGAGGTAACCGGTGGCGAGATGGGTCGGGTTGCCTCCAGGTCCTTCAGGGTCCCAGTTCATGACTAGAGCATCATTTGCCTTGCTCCATGTATCTCCTTTACCTTTGACACCAATGCTGTAATGACCTCGTGTTACATCCTGGCCATGATGCAAGACCACCGAGGTCAATTTATACTGGACGACTTTCCGTTCGTTGCCCCAGCGTTCGTCGATGAACCGTGTCTCAATATCCAACTGCTCGCTCAGATATACGTGAGTATCGATCTTCTTGCCCCACTGATCAGTGCGGTTGAGCTGGACCAAGAGAAGCTCAGGGAAACTTCCAATTTGGTCTCTGGATGTCTTTTTGCCTCCACACTGCTCACAGGCCCCGAAATCGTCCTCATGGTCAAAGTGCCGTTCGATCATATCGCTCAAAGTAGGCTTCTCGGGCAGTGTATCGCCCTCCTCTCCGGATAGGCTGATCATCAGGAATCGTTGGCGGTTTGAAATGTATTTGGGTTCACAAGGGTTCTTCCCAGCGCATCTCGTCGCCATGACGATTTCGACCTCAAACATATCTTCCAAGTCCCCTCTCCTGGAGTCTAAAGTCAGTCTTTTGTGTTTGGGGACATGTAGAGAATCACATACATCATAGGCTTGGTGCTCTCTTTGATCGCGTTGTAAAGCACATCAAAATATTCTGCCGGGTCTTGTTCCGAATCAACGCCAGCTGGTTTCCAACCGAGCAAGAGCGATTCTGTGAGGATCCCAAAGGTCGGTATCCAAGTTTTAGAACTACCTGTCCAGTAGGACTGAGAGATATTGGCCAGTTGACAAACTTGGCATTCGCTGAAGGCAATGCCCAGACTGCAACCGTGACCCTGAGGGGCATGGTGCTTCTTGTACCAGGCGAGCCAATTGTAGAAGATGGGCATGTGTAGAATCATTTGAAAGACGACATTTCGGTAACAGTCAACTCTGGCATTTGGAAAGCCCACGGTGGTTTTATTGGGCAAGTCTGGATGCCAATATCTGGGGATGGTGGTCTGTCTTGTTAGCGTTGATGATGAAGAGGTGGGCTGCAACTTACTCTCCGCGTTCTTTTATCTTCGGCTGACCTGGTGAAGGGCTCCGTATTGTCTATCACTTCCACCTCTTCGACTGGCTCTTCCTCTTCCTCTTCCTCTTCCTCTTCCTCTTCCTCTTCCTCTTCCTCTTCCTCTTCCTCTTCCTCTGGCTCTTCAACTGGCTCTTCAACTGGCTCTTCAACTGGCTCTTCAACTTCAACTCCCTCTTCAACTCCCTCTTCCCCGGAACTTCCGGGATTTCCTCTGTGGGTTGCTCAGCTTTGCCCATGATAGTATACGAATGGATGTGATATGTCGCTATTGCTCACTTGAGGGGTTCGCAGTTTAATTTATCTTGCATTGCAACTGATTTTCATTGTTCTCATCGCCAAAGAAAATATGGCTTCGATTTGGATTCTTTGAATACATGGAGCCAATGAATATGAAGATGATCAAAGAAAGTCGCGAAATCCCATCGAGTCGACTTCGGACTCATTCGAATTTCATTCAAATTTCATTCCTTCGTTTTTGACTATTTCGTTCTTTCATAGATAGCCGTTCCATGATTTTACGTCTGATTCGATGTTTACATCCAAACAAAGAACCTTTAGAAGGCATATCTGTCTATTAATAGAATTTTCAAAGAGGAAATAAAGTGAACGTGAGCCTACTCTCCAAATTTCAGTCGAATTCCCCTAAACTCAACTTCCCCCATGCTTTTACAGAATGTTCGAGACTAAGGAAATACCCAAGTTCCACCTAAAGTGTCTATAAGGGACCCCCAGTGGGGTCCAATGAAACTAGGAATCTCATAATTGACCACAGACTACAGATCCGGCCGAAAGCTGGTCTTCTCTGTACTTAGTTTTGTACTTTGTTTTGTACTTTGTTTTGTACTTTTACTATATCTGCATGGGTACTTGAGATACATCCACTTCCGGAACAAACTTGCCCTGCCCCGATGATCCATATAACTCTGTACTCCGTACTCCGTACTCCGTATTGACAGCAGGGTTCCTCGCATCTACCGAAGATCCACCGTTGAGGGCGAAAAACGGTTGCCACTTCAGCTGAGGATGATCTCAATTGAAGTGGACCCCAAAAATTCTCCGTTCATAGTGATGTGGCCAGTGGTAGCTACATATATGAGGGAGCAACAACCCGATGAGCTCCAAGAGAAATCCCCTTAAAGTCAATTGAAATGATAGAAATCATCCAAATGACGGCAAAAAAATAATGAGCTTCGAATCAGAACCTGTCAAAAAACCGGGTCTAACGGGTGCGTGTCGGATATTTAGGGCGATCACGACAATAAATAGAAAAGAGAAACACTCCACGCAACGCCACCAGCTCTTCGCTACCACTTAGGTCATAGTTGAGGGATGATCCGACGCCCTCTCCACACCGTTATTTCTTCACGACCGAGGTTCTCCCTATGTTGTATGTCCACGGATGAGACTATCCATGGATGTATCATTATCCTGCAATCTGACTTGACATCTTTTGTGAATTCTCCCCTATTCCTAAATCCTACGTGTCATCCCCTTATAAGAGCATTAGTGTATTTCGTCTAGGATCATAAGGTGAAGTCGCTACCGAACTGGTCATGTCTGTGCTGGCTCCAAGCCAAGGGAGGCAACGATCGCCTTGTGAACGTTGTACATATGTATGATCCACTTACTCCGTACACGTTCGACTATCCCTCTCTCTCTCTCTCTCTCTCTTTTTTTATTTTTATTTTTATATTTTTTTTCTCTCGGTTTGCCTTCTTATTGGAAAGTTGATAGACGAGATTCGAGGCCCAAAAGTACGAACATGAAGTGCTGATCCTTGTATTGAACGGACGTTTCAGGGAAACTGATCGTCGTAGATTGAAGAGGTACGTGTAATATATATGTACCTAGGTACTCCGTACGGAGTAGTGTAAAATTAATACTCCGTAGAATCGGATGAAGTGTTTCCGATATAAAGATCCAAGGTTTCAACCTTGGAAGGTCAGGAACTCGTGTTCGGCCCATAGAATTGCATTGTACGGGAAATTGGCGATTTAGTTCGCGCCCTTTGGTAGTTTACCAATGTCATTTGAAATTGACAGGGCTATTAGGGAAATTGAATTAAGACCCCACCAGTCCCTTAATCTTGGAAATGCGTGAACGCGTGCCCCGTCGTTCACAGTACAAATTACCAATCTTAAATCTATAACGTATAGAGGAAACCGGTTCAATTTCACTGATTCATATAAAGGGGAAAAAAGAAATTAAAATGTACTACATACTCCGTAGATGGAGATATATCCTATACATATCTGATAATACTCTTATACCTAAGTATATTATATATTATGGGGAAAAAAAAAGAAAGAAAAAGAAAGAAAGAAAAATGAGGGTCAGGAACCCGGTAAAAGCCCCACAAAGAGCAAGGGGGCAAACAAGTGAAGAGAAAAACCCCCGACTGGTTCCAAGGTTGACAGGGCATATCATAAAATCCCCCGTGAACACACATTTCAAGATATAAGCCGTTAGACGATCTGGAACTTTTAGTCGCAACGGGCTGGGCTCTGGACCGGAGAAGACCGTTCTCATTTAACCAAAAGGTGATGCGGGTCCCCGCTTATTTATTTAATTATATTTATTTTTTATATATTATTATTATTATTATTATTATTATTAATATTTTATATTTTATATTTTATTTGTATTTTATGTTTTATGTTTTAATTTTTGAGTTTTGAATAAAAAACTAAATATTACCAATTAGGGTTAATTAGTAGAATTAATACAAGAGTAGAGTTGGCATAATTTTACAAATGTAGTATAGTACTATAAGGTATAGCACATACCGTTTGATTCCACTTATGCCCCTCTTCCTTTTCTAGGTTAGTATGAAACTCTGCAGGTCATATCAAATATTTACCGTATACTCTTAAAAAGTCGATAGGAGATTCTTCTATTCATTATACATACACCTGGGCATATTCCAGATTTAAACTCCCAAAGATCTAGTCAGTTAGCTTAGGTCTTAACTGAAGAAAAACCGAAGATCACCCAAGTAAACCAGGGGAACTGACCGCATCTTTAATTAAAACCAGTGGATATTGAAGTATTTTTCACTCTGTAACAGTCATTACCCTTAATAGCCCCCCCCCCAACGGTCTAAGACTCTTCTTTTCTCCTCATCTTTTCAAGATAGGTTTAGATCAGCTGTCACTTCTGGATTCGTTTCACCTTCTAGTTGGATGCTTCATATCGCCTTTCTCCTCCCTTTTTTCCTTTCTGGTTTCTATCCTTGAATCTTCATTAGCACATTCCATCATACTTCCATACTTCCTTCCCCTCATTTCTCTTCTCTGATATCCTGGAGATTTTGCCCCAAAAAAATTCATCAATTCAAAGAGAAGTTGAAGATTCTCTTATACCGGACCGTTTGATCGTTCTGTCGTCATATTTGGGACAAGACTTTAGGATCACGAGCACCTTCCGTCTTTTCCCTCTTTTCGCCCCTTCCCTCCAGTCGGGGAGCTCCCTGCTGCTTTGTTTTCTATACTATTCATTGGTGCTCATCCGCGCATATGATTGCGTTACAAAATCGGCCTATATTGCCTCCTGTCAAAGTGGATATCTCACTGCTACTCAAGCCCCAAGATGAGGAAGAAGCCGCCCCAGGCCTGAACACCGGGTACCCGCCCAGAACGATAGGGCAACCACTGGGCTTGGGTCCTATGATGACTATGCCGGGCCCAGCTGCCATGGCCATGCCACCCTTGACCAAGTCCGGTACGTCGGGTGCGGCCAAACGCCTGCAGCCCTCGCATACGTCCGAATCTCCAGCAAAGAAGCAGTCCAAGTGGTCACCAGATGAGGACGCCTTGATCATCGAACTGCGTGGCAGTGGTATGAAGTGGGAGGATATCAGCAAACGACTCCCCGGCCGCAGTGCCATCAGCTGCCGTCTTCACTATCAGAACTACCTGGAACGCCGAAGTGAATGGGATGAAGATAAGAAGAACAAACTAGCCCGTTTATATGAGAGGTAGGTTTGGGAGGGGTAGATGGCTTCTCAGAAAGGAAACAAATCCACTAATCTCACAACTCATCCGATAGATTCAAAGCCGAAATGTGGTCCAAAGTGGCGGAGGAAATGGCTATCCCATGGCGTGCAGCGGAGGCCATGCACTGGCAGCTGGGAGAGCAGGAGATGGCTCGACGCGCAGGCGTAGTACCATTCTCCCTCTCAAGTGCTGCCATCGATCCCCCAACCACCAGAACACGTCGCGCCAGCACCTCTCTATCCCGGCCGAGAAAGGGATCTTCCTCACGCGCAATCCCAGGCCATATGCCAGGCCTTCCACCTCAGCTTCCCTCCCTTGAAGAGCTCACTGCAGGCGTCCCTGCATACGCGCCCGCTCCACCCCCTCCGAGAGAGTTCTATGGAATTGGACGACCGCCAGAGATGGGGATTCCCCCACCAGGTCACATGGGCCCTCACCTTGGCTTGCCCCCTCGGACCATGCCCTAGGATGAGATGATGAAGATGACGCCTACACGTCTTTCCTTGAGTCCCCCCCTTGCCTTTTTTTCCCTCTTTTCCTCTCCTGTTCTCTTTTGTGGTTTTCTGTTACGAATTGCATAGCGCCGGTTGGAGGTATATCGTGATTTTGTGGGGATTGTGAATCGTATAGATGATTTCTACCCCTCGGTGTTTGTTGTGATTTTTTCCTTTGTTTGCAGAACTTTTGGCGGGACCAACAAGTGCGAATTGATGTGGCTTTCCATGTCTCCGAGGCTGGCTCTCGGAGTGCAAAACACGGTTTCAAACGTCATGAGCCGTTTTGGGGGTTGCGATCGCCCACCAGTTATCTTTCTCGTACCCGGATTCTAGCA